TTGGATTTCAAGGGGTGTAACATAATCATATAAAAGATTAAATGGTTCTGTACTAAGGGAGGTAAACGCCCTTTCTATGGTCTTCCCATAGAATTTTGAAAGATATTCTCGAAAATATGAAATGTTCTCTCGAAGGAATATCGAAAGGTGTTCATTGGAAATCTTTCAGAAGTTCTTCTGTAGGTAGACTCTGTAGATTCTGTTTGCAGATTCTGTAGAATATAATCAAGAAGTCTTCAAAGCATGAATATCTTTCGAAATTACATTTAAAGATAGACCTTTATGGATGGAAAAATTTCAAAAGATTATCTAATTATAGGTACCTTTAAAAAATTGTAATGGATAGAATGGCCTTTCCGTAGAAGTTTGAAAGTTATTCTCGAAAATACGAAATGATCTATTTAAGGAATACCAAAAAGCTTTTCATTAGAAATCCTTCAGAAGTACTTCTGTATATAGTTTCTGCAGAATATAATCAAAAAGACTTGAAAATATAGAAGTCTTTCGAAATGACATTTAAAGATGGACCTTTACGGGTAGAAGACTTTCAAAAGATTGTCTAAAGATTGGTAACTTAAAAAACAATGAATAGAAAATAATCAAAAGGACTTTAAAAATCAAAAACATCACTTCTTTAAATAAATCATTTGAAAAGTTTTCTATCAATGCATTTTAAAAGTATTTTATGGTTATAAAACCCCATCCAAGAGGAATTATTGATAGAAGGAATAAAAAGGGATTTATACCCCTTGGTCTTCTTATTCCATTTACGAACATGGAAGACATTTCGAGGCCCTTTTATACAGAGGCTTCCTCGATATAATCTGCAATTCGTCTTCTATCTACAGACCATTTAAAAGGTCTAAATAGAACCCCTTTTTTAGGTTGTAGGAAAATAGCAAAACTTTAGAAGTCTTTCCTTTGTACCTCTTACAAAAAAACTTAAAATATAAATAAATCTTAAGATAAAAAATAAATACAAACATAAAATAACTTAAAAATCAAAAACAAACAAAAAAAGTCACTACCATTATTGTTCATCCAAATATTATTTGAATTTTGATTAGCACCTGTTGCAACACCAGCCGTTCCAGCACCCAAGGGAGCATCAAACATATCGGCAAATGGATTGCCCAACTGGAGTAGATCATCCGAAGCTTTGGTAGCACCAGCGGCGGCGGTGGAGCCAGCATTGGCTGGCTGGGCTGAGGCGGCACCAAACAAATCAACTATCGGTGCACTAGCCTGGGTAGCTGGTGGTGACGATAAGAATGGATTTGTTAATGCAGCGTTAGCAGCAGCAGCACCGCCGCTGGTTGGCGAAGAGACTTTAGACTGGAAAACAAAGAGCGAAAAATACAAATTAGAATTTTGCAAATCTCCAATATTCAAAACTTACCTTGTACTGATTCATGGCTGCCTCCTCATCGGCCAAGGCCTGGGCCTTCAATTGCTCATCAATGCCATTGGTGGTATCGAATTTACTCGAAGCTGCAGCTGTACCAAATGAAGTGCTAGTAGAAGATAGGGCAGAAACAGCAGATTTAACGTTCTTTTGGTTGTTACTTTTGATTTTGAATTGAAGTGAAGCGAAGTGGGAATTAAGTTTTTTTTTTAACACAACAATGGCAAATAATTTCAAATCAAAGTAATAATAAAAATTGCAACAAAATTCAATAACAACCAATAAGAAAATTAAAAGCAAGAGGATGGAAAAGAAGCAGGGGAAATTTAGTGGAGAAGAAAAGTAAGTGTTCAGTGTAAAGGGAGGGTAGGAAAGGTATATGTATATGTGTAGTTAATTTTAAGTAGGAATGGAAAGAAAGAATATATTTGAAATTATGGGAGTGTTTTGGGAGAAAAAAAAGAAAATACAAAATAAATTAAATTAAATAAAAATTGTGCAAAGGAGTTTAACATAAATCAAAAGCTAAGAAATTAAATTCTTGGGAAGAAATTCGACTAAAGAAGCAAAATAAATCTAATTGAAAAATAAAAAGAAAAGCGTACGTTTTCTAAGCATATGGAAAATATTGTTAGGCTGGTCTGAAAGCAAGCCCTCGTCTACACATTGCTGTGAAAAGTCAACATAGCCTCAATCAATTTTTTAGGGAATTGGAGTCCTAACCATTTGTTTTTATTAGCCTAAAAATAATTGTATTTATTTGAACCCATAATACCTTGTGGTATACCCAACATTTTCCCTTTCCTTTGGTGTCTCCCTTTTCCAATCGAAAATAAAATCAAAATAAAGTTAGAAAACAGTCTTTTGTTTAACAAAATTCTACAGAGAGATATTCTACACCACCAAAAAGTGAAAAAATGTTGAAAGCAAAAGCTTTCAGAAACGTCGAAAGACTAATGAAACAAATTACATACTAAGGGAACGAAATATGGAGGGTCAGAAGAATTGTGTAAAAACTCTTTCTTTCGAAGACTAAATATCATTTTATATAGTTTAAACCAGTAAAGAAAGTCTTAAAGTCGGGCGGGGCCGACTTTATGATACCCTACATAACAAATCGGATGAACAATATATATGGGAGCTATAGATATATCTTCACCAAATTTGACATACTAGCTTCTAGACTCAATTCGGTCGTATGTGCCAAATTCCATCCCATTTGGGCAAATATTAGACGTTTGGTGCACAATAAAAGGTAAATCGGACGAAGTTATATATGGGAGCTATATCCAAATCTGAACCGATATCGATAAAATTTGGCAAAGGTATTTCTGAGCTACATTTGATATATTTCGCCAAATATTGTTGTTACAGAGTGCATATTACGGCTGCGGAGGACAAAAATAACAAATCGGATGAACAATATATATGGGAGCTATAGCTATATCTGAACCGATTTCGATCAAATTTGGCATACTTATTTTCAGGCCTAATCTGGTAGTATGTGCAAAATTCCATACTATTAGGGCTTGTAATACACGTTTGGTGCACAATAAAAGTCAAATCGGACGAAGATTTATATGAGTGCTATATCTTAATTTTTACCGATTATCTCCAATTTCAATAGGGTTCGTCACTGGGGCAAACAAATGTTGTTTGGAAAATTTCATCTCAATCATATAATAAATGCGACCTGCATTTTGTTCACAAGAATACATGGACAGACGGACGGACAGGCGGACTGACATGCATAAATCAACTCAGAAAGTGGTTCTATGCATATCCTCAAAAGTAACTATGGGTCTATCTCGCTTCCTTCTTCATGTTACAAACAAATGCACAAAGACATAATACCCTTACCACCATGTGGTGTAGGATATAAAATGAAGACCATAAGAGCACCCTGTTGTCGGGCGGGGCCGACTTTATGATACCCTACATAACAAATCGGATGAACAATATATATGGGAGCTATAGCTATATCTTCACCAAATTTGACATACTACCTTCTAGACTCAATTCGGTCGTATGTGCCAAATTCCATCCCATTTGGGCAAATATTAGACGTTTGGTGCACAATAAAAGGTAAATCGGAAGAAGTTATATATGGGAGCTATATCCAAATCTGAACCGATATCGATAAAATTTGGCAAAGGTATTTCTGAGCTACATTTGATATATTTCGCCAAATATTGTTGTTACAGAGTGCATATTACGGCTGCGGAGGACAAAAATAACAAATCGGATGAACAATATATATGGGAGCTATAGCTATATCTGAACCGATTTCGATCAAATTTGGCATACTTATTTTCAGGCCTAATCTGGTAGTATATGCAAAATTCCATACTATTAGGGCTTGTAATACACGTTTGGTGCACAATAAAAGTCAAATCGGACGAAGATTTATATGGGTGCTATATCTAAATTTTTACCGATTATCTCCAATTTCAATAGGGTTCGTCACTGGGGCAAACAAATGTTGTTTGGAAAATTTCATCTCAATCATATAATAAATGCGACCTGCATTTTGTTCACAAGAATGCATGGACAGACGGACGGGCAGGCGGACTGACATGCATAATCAACTCAGAAAGTGGTTCTATGCATATCCTCAAAAGTAACTATGGGTCTATCTCGCTTCCTTCTTCATGTTACAAACAAATGCACAAAGACATAATACCCTTACCACCATGTGGTGTAGGATATAAAATGAAGACCATAAGAGCACCCTGTTGTCTGATAGAAAACTTTCACTTAAAAGGCCGGACAGTAAAGAGCAGAACGCCAATTTTTTATCTAATTGAACAGAAATTACAGGAGAAGAGCTTCTTACCATGAGAACTTGGACTAAAAGGTCTTCATTGGAAAGAGTATGATAGTCCTTTGAAGAAAACATGGTCCTCTTATAGCAAACCAAAAGGCACATTTATAGAAGACAAGAGGAGGCTTTTTAAAGCTGTACCAAAAAGTTGTCTTATAGAAAACCAAATGAGGTGAACTAAAGATATTCTCAAAAATTATCTAATGGAAGTTCACAATATATTTTTTTATAAAGAATCAAAAGTCTTCAAATAGAAGAAAAAATGCAGATGAGCGAAATCCCTTTTGATAGAAAACTGAAGGGAGTTCTCAAAGAAAGCTGAATTTCGTCTAACAAAAATTTACTCATAAGGAGTAGGTGAAGTCCATAGGTTCTTCTCTAGGCAAACTAAAGGGCTCACTGATAGAAAATCAAAAGAAGACAACCAAAAGGTCTCATATACTCATATTGAAAAAGAGAAGAACTAAAGACCTTCTCATAAATGATCCAAAAGACTTCTCATGGAAGTATAAAACATATTTTTTGCAAAGGACCAGCAAATGTCTAATAGAAGATCTAAATGAGAAGACCAACATTAATTTCATAGAAAACCTTAAGACTTTCCCAAAGAAAACAAAATATATTATACTAGAAGATCACATGTTCTTATCAGGCGTTCCTACAAAAGAGCAAAAGTTCTTCTTTAAGAAGATCAAAGGGCTTACTCATAGAAGATTCTAACAGAGTATTAAAAAACCAAAAGACCTAATATTCATTAAAAAAGTTAAGTACCAATGGTCTTCTTATAAATGATCTAGAAAACCCCATACTTAAGAATCAATGGGTCTTTTCATAGAAGGCCAATATATCTTCACATAGGGGACCGTCGTTTTATCGAAGATCATATAGACTACCCAAAGGTTTTATTATAGTCCATTAAACGGCTTTCTCGCAACACACCAAAAATTCTTCAATGGGAAGCCAAAATATCTTCTCAAAGCAGATCGAAATTTTCTCCTTAAAAAAGCCTCAAAGAAAATGAGAGAAAAGTTCAAAAATCTTCTCAGAAAAGATCAGAAATTCTTATCAGAAAAATTTAAAAAAAAGCTTCTCCCAGAAAATCTAAAAGATGTGAAGTACTTCTCATAGAAGACTAACCCTTTTTCTAAAGGAAGGACAAAGATATTTTGACAAAGGCCAAAAGTTCTTCTCAAAGAAGGGCACAATGTCTGCCAGTTGAGGAGCAAAATATCTTCTCAGAAAATATCAAAAGATTGTTTCATAGAATGTCAAAAAGTCCAAACATAGAAAGCCAAAAGATCTCCGCATAGAACGGCAGAATGTCTTTATGAAGATGGCCAATTAAGAATATCAAAAGATCTTTCCATGGGAGACTGAGGGCAAAATGGGTTGATATAGAAGACTTGAAGAACTTCCCATTTAAGACAAGGAGTTCGTCTAATGGAAGGCCAAAGATAGTTTCACTAGAAGGCAAAAAGTTCGCCAAAAAATCCAAAAAGTCTGCTTACAGAGGAGCAAACAATTTTTCTCATAAAGGGTCATCATATAAATACGAAATAGCCTTCCCACAGAAGGCCAGAATATACTCATGAAGACGACCAGAGAAGCCCCAATTAAGAATATCAAAAGATCTTTCCATGGGAGACTGAGAGCAAAATGGGTTGATATAGAAGACTTGAAGAACTTCCCATTAAAGACAAGAAGTTCGTCTAATGGAAAGCCAACAATCTCTTTCCAGAAGACAAAAAGTTCTTCTCAAAAAAAAAAAGTTTTTTCACATAAAATATCATCGTATAAAATAGGAAATAGCCTTCACATAGAAGGGCAGAAGGTCCTCATGAAGACCGACCAAAGAAGCCCCCTTCTGGAGCCCAAAACTCTTTCTCGACAGATCTTTATAAATACATGACCAAGAGGTCTGGAAATACAAGTTAAGTAAAGTAATTGAATAAAAGACGAAAGGCTCTTGAGAGAATACCAAAAGGTCTTCTCAAAGGAGACCAAATGTCTACTTATAGGAGAGGAGTAAACATTTTTTCTCATAAAGGTCATCATATAGAATATGAAATAGCCTTCCCATAGAAGGCCAGAATGTCCTCATGAAGACGACCAGAGAAACACCCTTTTCTGGAGCCCTAAACTATTTCTTCAGAACTTTATAAATACATGACCAAGAGGTCTGGAAATAAAAGTTAAATAAAGTAATTGAATAAAAGAAGAAAGGGTCCTCAGAGAATACCAAAACGTCTTCTCAAAGGATACCAAACGTCTACGTATAGAAGAAAAAGAGGTCTTCTTATGTGGGTCAAAAAATTCTACTTATGGAGACAACAGAAAGGTCTTCCTACTGCAGGGCTTTCCAGTAGAATTTTAAAAACTTTGCTCCAAAAATACAGAAAGGTCTTGTCAAGTAATATGGAAGACCAGATAGGTCCCCTGAACAGAGGACAAAACTCTTTTTTAACAGTTCTAGAAAATAGGATCAAGAAGCCTTGAAACAAAAGGCAAGGCAAAGTAATTACATAAAAGACATACGAATATTTTACGAAGGAAGCGAAAATGGTATTTTTATAGAAGGCCATGAGGTCTTCCAATAGGAGACAAAAAGGAGGTCTACTCATAGATGGATATTTTAAAGGAGGTGAAGTGGTCTCATAAAATACCGTAATGTATTTTGAAAACATATTAAAGAGTCGTCACATGGAAGACAACTGGAGCCCAAAATCCTTTCTGCTTTTAAAAACATGATCAAGAGGCCTTGAAATAAAAGGCAATAACATTTTATAAAAGACAAAAGGTTATTTCACCAAGGAAGCGACAATATATCTTTCTCAAAGTTGTCCAAAAGGTATTCTAATAGCCAAATGGTATTTTTATAGAAGACCAAATGGTCTTCCTATAGGAGGTTTATTAATAGATGGGTCTTCTTGTAGAAGTTTGAAAGGTCATCTTCTTTTCAAAATAGATCTATCTGGTCCCATCATTAAAACCCAAAACTTTTCTTTAAAAGTTCTCTTCTTAACTAGACGACCAAAATGAAAGATTATTACAGTAGACATATGAAATCAAAATAGAAGAGACCTTTTACGGCTACAAAATCACAACATTTTACAATAAAGTTTTAAGAAAAAAGCAAAATCTATTAACCTATAAGTCACTAAAATCTATTAACCTATAAGTTACTAATATGGTAAATTTTTCAAATGCTCCTCTCATAGAAAATCTTCTTACAGAAGACAATAAGGTCTCCATACAGAAGACCCGAAGGTCTTTGTCTAGAAGAATACAACGAGGTCTTTACATAGATGGCAAAAAAGCTTTTCTTAAGGGGATCAAAACCCCTACCTAAATATGTTTAGAACACTCTTGCTTGTTTTCCCTTCTCTATTTTCCCTTGGTACATTTGGTATAAAATGTCATGTCAACCAAAGTTTCATCTCCATAGATGGTCAAAGTTCTTCTTAGAGGCTAAAAGCCCTTCAGAAAACAACCAGAAAGGTCTTATTATGAACATGGACGTCAGGATAAATACCATATAGACTTTTTTTAACAATAAAAAAGTCCTTTCATGGATGTCCTGGATGCTTTTTTTATAGGACCCCAAAAACCCTAATCTCCCCGCCCTTCTGGTGGTGTAGAATACATACATATCCCCCTCTCTAATCTCCTCTCCGTCCTTTCAACAAACCTTGCCGACTGTGTGGGCGTGTTGGCAGCCGAAACTTTGCGACCCTCTAGCGCAGCCAAATGTTGTTCCAATGCATCCAACAGGGAACTGGGTGCCTTTGTTAAATCTGGTATGTCGCCCTTGTCGATGCCGACATTCTGAAATAAAGGAAAACGATATAAATAAGAAAGAAACAATGTATTGGAAAAATTATTTCCCACTCACCTCAGCAACTTTGAGGAACTCCCCCACACGATCCATGCGCACCAAAAACTTTTTATACAAATCCAAGGCATCGCGGGCCTGTTTCTTGTTCATATCGAATATTTCTCCAATAGATTAATAATACCATCATTGTAACAGGCGAATAGACGAATGAGATCACGGAATAATAGCATAAAGGACATGTTGATGACACCTGGAAAGGAGAAGTACATTCGTTTTAATAAATGAAATACGAAGAAAAAAATCAGAAAATTAAGAAGGCAGAATGGAAAGACCGATGTGCCTGCTATATAGGGTCGAAGAAAAATTTGCTAAAACAAATGAAAAAAATTAGTTTTTTTTTCACAAAATTGAAACGAATATTTTTTAGATAAATAATGGAAATAGAGATTTCTTTTCTTTGGTGACTTATGGTGAAATTTGATAAAGAATAATTCTTCCTTTGGCACTTTCCTCAAAATATCAAATATTATGGGAGATTTTGACTCAGATTAAAAGCTTATAAAATAGTCAAAAAATGTAAGCATATAATTTACACTTTAAATAAGTAAATATAGAACGGAACTTTCTTAAAAACTATGATAGCTAGATATATTGTTTATTCTGAGATTTATAGTGAAATTTGGTGTAGAATATTTCCTCTTTTGACAGTTTTGGTCTAAAATTAAATTGTATACCACTTTCATGTAAGAACTCAAAGAAGGTCGAAGAAAAATTTGCTAAAACAAATTGAAAAAATTAGTTTTTTTCACAAAATTGAAACGAATATTTTCTTGATAAATAATAGAAATAGAGATTTCTTTTCTTTGGTGACTTATGGTGAAATTTGATGAAGAATAATTCTTCCTTTGGGACTTTCCTTAAAATGTCAAATATTATGGGAGATTTTGACTCAGATTAAAAACATATAAAATATTAAAAATGTAAGCATATAATTTACACTTTAAATAAGTAAATATAGAATGTAACTTTCTTAAAAACTATCCTAGCTAGATATATTGTTTATTCTGAGATTTATAGTAAAATTTTGTGTAGATTATTTCCTCTTTTGACAGTTTTTGTCTAACTTTAATTTTATGCCACTTTCATGTAAGAACTCAAAAGATGGTCGAAGAAAAATTTGCTAAAACAAATTGAAAAAAATTAGTTTTTTTTTTTCACAAATTGAAACGAATATTTTCTTGATAAATAATGGAAATAGAGATTTCTTTTCTTTGGTGACTTATAGTGAAATTTGATGAAGAATAATTCTTCCTTTGGCACTTTTCTCAAAATGTCAAATATTATGGGAGATTTTGACTCAGATTAAAAGCATATAAAATAGCGAAAAATGTAAGCATATCAATTTACACTTTAAATAAGTAAACTTTCTTAAAAACTATCATAGCTAGATATATTGTTTATTCTGAGATTTATAGTGAAATTTAGTGTAGAATATTCCTCTTTTGCCAGTTTTGGTCTAATATTAAATTTTATGCCACTTTCATGTAAGAACTCAAAAGAAGTGGAAGAAAAATTTGCTAAAAACAAATTGAAAAGGTTTTTTTTTTACAAAATTTAAAACGACTATTTGTCTAGGTAAATAATGGAAATAGAGATATCTTTCTTTGGTGACTTATGGTGAAATTTGATGAAGAATAATTCTTCCTTTGGCACTTTCCTCAAAATGTCAAATATTATGGGAGATTTTGACTCAGATTAAAATCATATAAAATAGTCAAAATGTAAGCATATAATTTACACTTTAAATAAGTAATATAGAATGTAACTTTCGTAAAACGATCATAGCTAGATATATGTTTATTCTGAGATTTATAGTAAAATTTTGTGGAGATATTCCTATTTTGCAGTTTTTGACTAAAATTAAATTTATGCCACTTTCATGTAGAACTTAAAAGAAGGTCGAAGAAAATTTTCTAAAACAAATTGAAAAAATAGTTTTTTTCACAAAATTAAAACGAATATTTTCTAGATAAATAATGGAAAATAGAGATTTCTTTTCTTGGTGACTTATGATGAAATGTGATGAAGAATAATCTTCCTTTGGCACTTCCTAAAAATTTTCAAATATTATGGGAGATTTTGACTCAGATTAAAGCATATAAATAGCCGAAAAATTTAAGAATATAATATACACTTTAAATAAGTAACTATGCAACTTTCTTAAAAACTATCATAGCTAGAATATTGTTTATTCTGAGATTTATAGTGAAATTTGCTGTCGAATATTTCTTCTTTTGTCCTAAAAGGATATTTATGTCACTTTCATGCATAAAACAAAAAAGCCGAGGAAAAATACGTTAAAATACGTATATTTTCACATTTTAATGTAGCCTATATATATAAAATATATCCCCCTGATTTTAGTTATTTCCAGGGTCTTGGCACTCAATCATGAAAATATCTCCAGGGCTTGTAGGGCCCTGCATGCATAGGTATCGCTTATAGGTTATTTTATATAGTTTGCCCCTTACCATTTGTTAAATCACTTGACTGGCAATCGAATTCCAATAGGGCATCCAATTGGGCTTGTAGCACGGGCAAGGTTTTCAATAATTTATCGGCATGCATGGTGCGCAACGAGCCCTCCTCTTTGCTGTAAGGAACGAATAAAAACGAAAGATTATTAGGAAATTTGGTTTCTAATAAAATGCGTTAGACTTACCCCCTTTTGACTTTGCAAAAATCAAAAGCCATTGCACGATAGGACAAGGATTTCTCGTTTAAATATTTGGCATAGCGTCGGATAAAGGGTGACATGTCATAACCTAGAGATGGGAAATGAATCAAAAAAATTAATAAAATTCCATAACAAAATTTTGGGATTTTCAAAATACTACCACACACAAACCAATTTTCGTAATTTGTTACGCAAAGAAAAGGAACAACGTGGGGGGAGAGGGGGAGATTTCCCCCCCCCCCACAATGTTCCTTCCAAAGTGAGTTTTTTCTAAAAGCAATTTTTTCTACAGTGGCATCTAAAAAAATAGAACAACATAACCTAAAATACATGGAGTTACTCACCCATTCTGCCACCGGGTACCGACATACCACCATCTGGTTTTAAAGCGTATTTTTACAGTTTTAAAGTTGGCATTTTTTTGGTTTTTTTCGATTGTTTTGTTTATTTGTTTGGAGAGGGGAGCATGATTGAGTAGTGGTAGTAGAAGTAGTAGTGGAGTACAACAAGGAGTAGTAGTAGTAGTAAGCGTTTACACACGGGAATACAAGAACACAAATTGGTAGAATTGTTTTTAGGTTAAGCATGATAGAGTTACATTAAAGATATATATATTTTTTATTTATTTTTATTTTTATTTATTTATTTATTTTTTTTTTTTTTTTTTGATTAATTTGAAAATGTAAGTTTTTTTTTCAAAAAGCCATATATGAATGATGATTGCCATGAATGTCGTGGTTTTACAAAATAAATTATTAATAGGAAGGCGATTTTTTGTTTTTAGGATTATCCATATCAAATATATCGAGTATGTAATGTATGTATGTAGAGAGTAAAAGAGGAGGAGCGCAGGAGTATTTATTCCGTTATTTATAAAAAATGGAAAAAAAAAGAAGAGAGAAAAAAATCATAAAAAAGCATCAAATTGTTACCACAACAAAAAATAACAACAACATAAAAACACTAATTAAAAATTTAAAAATTAATTTTGAATGGGAAAAATTACAAGTTATTCAATTAGTTTGGGTTCGGATGGGGAGGACAAAATGATATTAAATTTTTTAAATGAAAAATTTTAATTATGGAATGAGTGTTGATGAAATGTTGTTAAAAATGTTAAATTTTTTATTAATATTCGAAAAACAAATCTTAACAAAATTTTTGTCATGATGAGAGAGCAAGCAAGAGCTTTACTTGCTTTTCTTTGCTTAGTACCTTGTACACCTCCCTTATCCAGAAAATTACTTAGATTAAATGTGGAATTCGATGATGCCAAATACTGCATGAAACGCTGGAAGTTGAACAGAAAAATTATTAAAATTATTATTTTGTTATTAAATAAATTTGATTTAGAAAAATGAAAAAAAAAAAAATTAATAAATTTCGAAATATTGGAAAATAAAATAATTACAACAACAAAGACCTTAAGCTCGAACAACGCTTGTTTAATAAAAATAAATTTATTTTTGAAAAAAAAAAAAAAAAAAAAAAAAAAACATTTAAAGATTTTTTTTATTTTGAGAGGAGCAATAAGTCCCCAATACTTAATCTAAAAACACGGATAAATATGTCAAAATATAAATCGGACATTTTTATACCCTCAGCCATATGGCTAGAGAGGGTATATATCATTTGATACGGCCAAAAGGTGCCTTATCGAATAACGATTTTAGACAATAGGTTTCTTTGGACAAAATCCGTTTCGGGACGTTTGGAGTCGAACTAGCGATGTCTGTCGGACCGTCCGTCGGTCCATCTGTTTGGCTGGTGCGCACGATAACTGTTGAAGAGAGTATCCGATTTGGATTTGGTAGATCGTAATATTATTGTCAAACTTAGATCGAGTTCGGAGATGAGCAATATCGGTCCACTTCTTCTGGTACCTCCCCCACAAAAGGTCGGAATTTTCAAAGATAATATTTTATTGCACAGAAACAGAATGAGTGATCCGATTTTGCTTCAACTTTGCAGAGCCTAATATTTGCATAAGTGAAAGGTCAGGTGCGAAAATGTCCAAATATCAGTCCACTCCATCAAGTACCTCCCCCACAAAGGGTCAACATTTTTAAATAATTATAACTCTTATAAAATGTGATGTACGATTCCGATTATCTTCAAATTACACACATCACAATAATTTTATAAACTCAAGCTCTGGTGTTAAGATGGAATATATCGGTACACTCCTTCTGGTACCTCCCCCACAAAATGTCAACATTTTCAAAGAAAATTATTTACTGCACAGAAAGAGAATGAGTGATCCTATTTTGCTTTAACTTTGCAAATCTTAATATTTGCATCAGTGCTAGGTCAGGTGCGAAAAAAAATAAAATTCGGAGTTATTATTGTATGTCTTATAAAATGCGAAAAAAAGGTCCGATTGTCTACAAATTTTACACATCCCAATATTTCTACCAACACAAAATCTGGTGTGGAGATGAAATATATCGGACCACCCCTTCTGGCACCTACCCCACAAAGGGGTAAAATAAAATTTATAAGAATAATTATATATCTTATAATATGCTAAAAAAAAGAGGCCGATTGTCTTCAAACTTCACACACATTAATATTTTTATTAACACCAAATCTGATCCGAAGGTAGGATATATCAGTCCAATCCTTCTGGTACCTCCCCCACAATGGGTCAAAATTTTGAATAATCAAATTCTCTTCAAAGTGGATTTTTTGCCGTTATCCGATTTACCTGCATAAGATATTTTCAATATCCGAACATCAATAATTCAGTTTTGTCGTAAACCACATTGGGCGGATAAAATTTTTTTATTATCCAGATGACCTGAATAACATTTTTATATTATCCAGATGACGTGGATAGCATTTTTCATTTTCCGGATAACGTGGATAATATTTTTACATTATCCAGGCAACATGGATAACATTTTTACATTATCCGGATAACGTGGATACAATTTTTACATTACCCTGATGACGTGGATAAAGATTTTTCAACGTGGATGACATATTTATAATATCCAGGTGACGTGGATAACACTTTTAGATCATCCTGATAACGTGGATAAAATGTTTATAATATCCAAATGACGTGAATAACATTTTTACATCATTCGGATAACGTGGATAACATTTTTATATTATCCAGATAACATAGATAAAGTGGATCACATTTTTACATTATCCGGATAACGTGCATAACAATTTTACATTATCCAGATGACCTGGATAACATTTTTATAATATCCAGTTCATGTGGATAACATTTTTATATTATCCAGATGACGTAGACAACATTAATGTAAAGCAACGTGGATAACATTTTTACAAAGTGAATAATATTTTTAAATTATCCAGATGACATGGATAATATTTTTACATTATCCGGATTACCCATATGACTTGGCTAAAGTTTTAATATTACCCAGATAAAGTGGATAACATTTTTATACTACCCGAATTATTAAATGAAAGCTCCCTTTGAATTTTAACCTAAATTATATTTTTCATTTGATTGTGGATAAATTGGATAACAAGCTTATGATATGCAATCGAATTGAATTTGAATGATAACAGCTCATATTATCCATTTGGTTTCTTCATTTCCAATGTTCAAAATATGGAGGAGGGATCGATTTTGTGTGTCTTGTTGTAGATACTATATTTAATCGTTGCATACTTTTAGGCTCGTATGAAAATATGATATCGACCACAAGGTTATGGCCATAAAACCGAAAATGTATCATTTGCAAAATTTCATTATTCTATCGCATTTCGATAATCCAAATATTTTTGTTTTCCGCAACTGACATTTGATAACGTATTATCCTATTGATTCTGGTTACAATGTTTTCTATCATTCACTACAATTTTCAGAGTGTGGAGAGTTTATCCCCTTTATCGCTTTTTGTTCCAAAAATCATAGCATAATTTTGGGAGAATATAAAAATTGGTGGAAAAGTCGACCAAATGACGCAAAATTTTTAAAATTTTCCAAATCTTCAATAACCCTATATTCCATCGTATTCCTCCCTGTCCACATGGTGACAACAACACCAACAAAAACAGCAGCAAACTTACCTCATTTCCATATGCCATCAGATGATGTGTGGTTATTAGCGCCTTGTACACCACCACCCAATGGGTATTCTGTGAGCGTTCGATAAGTAAATTGGCCAGATGTGGTATTGAGACATTGGGTTCATTTGTACAGTGTACTAGATCTGGAAAACGAGATAGAGAGAGAGAGGGTGGATTTAATAAGAATGAAATTAAAGGTAAATGCTTATCAGCGACTATGGAATACAATTAAAATATTTAATAAAAAGTAATATAAATATGTTTTAATAAAATATTTGCATTTTATAACGTCCGTAAGAGTTGTATATAATTTTAAGAGAGTCTATTTTGAAGAATATATTTTACTATTGAGGCTATTATCTTGGATTTTAAGGTAAAATGTTTCATCCATCGAGTCCATAATCCTGGATATATAAGAATAATTTTTCATGGACCGGCGAGTCCTTGATTTTTTAAAGACCTTCTCGTACTTTAGATAATATTTTAAGGACTATTGTAGCAATAATTATGAATTTCTAAGGATATTCTTTTAAAAACCATCGAAGTTATAATCGGGAATTTTTATAGAATATTTTTTTCAAAGATTATTGCAATTATAATTTTGAAATTTTAAAGAATATTATTCTACGGACCATCGAGTCTACAATCGTGGATTCCTACGGAATTTTTTTTTCAAGGACAATAATAGATTTTTAATTTTTTTTCTTCGAGGATTTTTATTTATTTTTTTTTTTTTGGACATTCGATAATTGTGAAAATAAAAGAAAGTAGAGACCTTCAGAGCTTTAATCAATAATGTTATATGTTTATAATTCTATAATTTTTTGATTTGGGCTATAATCGTGGATATTTAAAGAATATTTCTTCGAAGACTATTGGAGCTATAATCGTCGGTTTTTATACCCTCAGGCATATGGCTAGAGAGGGTATATATCATTTGATAGTCGAAGTGCCTGGTTTTAGACCCTAGGTTTTTTTGGAACAAATCCGTTTTAGAACATTTGGAGTCGACCTAGCGATGTCCGTCCGTCCGTCTGGCTGGCTGGTGCGCACGATAACTCTCGAAGGAAGTATTTGATTTGGTCCAAACGTGGTACATCGTAATATTATTGTCAAACTTATATCGATCTCGGAGATGGGCAATATCGGTCCATTCCTTCTGGTATCTCCCCCACAAAAGGTCAAAATTTTCAATGAATATAATTTACTACACAGAAAGAGAAAGGATAATCCGATTTTGCTCCCACTTTACAAATCCTAATATTTCTATCAGTGCTAATTCAGGTGCTAAAATGGATAATATTGGCCCACTCCTTCTGATACCTCCCATACAAATGGTCAAAATGTTGAATATCCATGAAGCTCATAAAGCACGAAATTAACATCTGATTCCATTCAGACTTGGTACATCTCAATATTTCCATCAACACAAGATCTGTAATAAAGATGGTAAAGATCGGACCATTCCTTCTGGTACGTCCCCCACAAAAGGTCAAAATTTTGAATAACAAAAACGATCATAAAATCCGAAATAAGCATCCGATTCTCTTAATATTTCACACATCCCATTATTTCTACTAACACAAGATCTCCTGTGAAGATGGGATATATCGGTGAACTCATTCTAGTACCTCCACCACAAAGGGTCAAAATTTTGAATATCCATGAACTCATAAAGCACGAAATTAACATCCGATTCCATTCAGACTTGGCACATCTCAATATTTCCATCAACACAAGATCTGTTATAAAGATGATAGAGATCGAACCATTTCCTTGTGGACCTCGCCCACATAGGGTTCAAGATTTTGAAAAACAAAACGCTCAAAGAAAGCGAGTTAAGCATCCAACTCTCTTCAAATGGTACTCTTCAGTCTAAGTTCAGATGCGAAGTGGTCAATATTGGCCATCTGCTTGGGAACTTCCCCCATAAAGGATCAACAGTTGGAATATTCATAACTAAAGGCTGGGAGTATACATCTGTCGGCAATACTGACTGATACTATTTTACTCGTTATAATATATCCTCGGTCAATTACAAGACCTCCGATACAACATATTCAAAGGAATTTATGCTGTTGATGTCGCCAGAAAAAACGATAAAAAAAATTACAAATATTATTAGTTAGGCATTAATATTTATCAAACATATAAAAACAACTACAAGCAGCGTCCCACAAAGTACACAGACGCACACACATACATACACAATGCACAGAAAGTGAACTGATTGTTCAAACGAGTGTAGCCAACATCTGATGATTCATTCGTATCCAAATGTCCAATGCCTGCCTTTGTCGTCGTATTATGTTGACAGTACTTGGAGACAACGACAAAAAAAGTAACAACATAACTCTAATAACAGCGGCGGAACTTGAAAAGGGAAGGGATGAATTCTCAAAAATAACTTATGTAAACAGATACAAAAACTCTAAACAAACTTGGAGAATAAATGACATCAAAATATTTTCATGAAAAAAAAAACAAGAAAACAGCATTATTTCGGCCGGGCGGAACTTTGAGTTCCCTCCACCATTTAGAACATATTTGAAAATTGTCAAAAAAATTAAAATCTTTTAAAAATTCTATTGATATCTTAAAAATTCCGCATATAAAAGTTATATCAGGGTCTATGCGAAGACGTGGACCTGCATAAGTAATTTTTGTCATAAACCATTACAATATCCAAATACGAAACTTGAAAAAAATCAGGTGATTAATGTAGCTAAAATCATCAAAATACCGAATATAGGGATGTATTCATATATGAGTCCTATACAAAGACCTGGACCTGCATAGACAATTTTCTGTCACAGTCTGTAGTACCTATTAGGAACTTCAAATACGAAATTTCAAACAATTTCGGCGAATATTGTACCTATAATCGTCAAAGTATGGAATATAGGGATGTACTGATATATGGGGCCTATACGAAGACCTGGACCTGCATAGAAAATTTTCTATCATAGACTGTAGTTCCCACTACGATCTCTAAATACAAAATTTGAAACATTTCCGGTGAATAATATCGCTAAAATTATGAAAATACCGAATATTGGAAGGTACCGCTACATAGGGCCTCTACGAAGACTTGGATCTGCATATACAATGTTCTGTCATAGACTGTAGTTTCCATTACGGACGCTAAATTCGAAATTTGAAACGACTCCGGTGAATAATGTCGCTAAAATCATCAAAATACCGAATATTGGGAGGTACCGTTATATGGAGGCTATACGAAGACGTGGGCCTGCATACGCAATTTTTTGTCATAGGCTGTAGTACCCATTACGAATCCTAAATACGAAATTTGAAACAACTCCCTTGAATACTGTCCCTAAAATCCTCAAAATATCGAATATTGGGGGGGGATAAAAATATGAAAATTCCGAATATAGGGAGGCACGTTAAATGGAACTCCTTTTGTAGATTTTCAGACAATTTCATTAAAAAAAATTGGCTAAAATCATCAAAATACGGAAAATCGGGGGGTACCGTTATATGGGGGCTATACGATATCGTGGACCGATATAGACCATCTTCTAACTTGACCTGCCTGCAGACAAAAGACTGATCTGTGCAAAATTTTAGCTTCCAATCTTTATTCGTTTTGACTCTAGTGTGATTACAACAGACGGACGGACGGTCAGGGTTAAATTGTCTTAGAACTTTACGCTGATCAAAATATATACTTTGTTATGTCTAAAATTATTATTTTGATGAGTTACAAAAGGAATGACGATATTTCTGTTTCAATATTTCTGTTTTTTTTTTTTTTTTGCAAAAAAAGTAGGGCTTGATCCTAAAGGTCTTACCTCCACACACAACATCTTATCGTATTTTAATATATGATTTTTATGCAACGCCGACTCTTGAACTTTCTACACTTATTTGTAGTCGGGGGTACTCATTTATTGTAATTTGCTATCTATTTTATAATTAATTTATTATTATTAACCTACTGATACTACATTAGCTTTTAATAGGGTGATCCGTTCATACAACTTTCAAGTTTTTGCTAGGATCAAAATAAATGATATTCCGGACTGGCCATTGACAGGCCGTTGACGCCACTTACTCTAATCCTTTGACGAATCTTAATATTATGGAGTGTCTTTGGTAAATTTTTAAATCAATTATTGCCTTATGAAATCTATTAATATCCACAATTTTTACATCTGAAACCAGCTCAGGCTTGGAGTTCAGTTATTTCCCTTGAAATTCTTTGCATTTTAGCAAAAATCGTCTTTTAATTCTTTAAAATCCCCTTTAACAATACATTTCCCCTCATTAATACAATTCAAAGCGCCAAAAATAATTCTCTCCCTCTCCTTTCTGTATTTCTCTGAGTACCACACTAATGTTAAAATAACCACCACTACTAACACAACCAACAACAATAATAATCATGTAAATGCATTGTTGAACAGTGTGGGAAAATAGGTTAGAAAAAGTAATAAAGAAAATTGGCATTCGCAACATGTGATTGATGTTTTTGCAACTGAGTGTGGTGTGTTGTTGGTAAAAGGAAAGCAAAAAACAAAATGCATGGCATAGCCTGGCATATGTGAGTAAAGAGTTGCACGCACGTACGAACGCAATGCTCACTCACGCTCTCATAAATTCTATAACAACCTCCCATCTGCTTTTGTTTGTTACTGTTACTGTTTTCTAGTGCCAACAACAATCCAACTAATCTGACGTAATCTGAAGAGAAAGAGAGAGTCATGCAAAGAAAGTGCATACAAGTAGAGTGCAAAGCAAATGCACACATACAAACAGATGTATGGCATGCCATGTTATGTAGTCATGTTGCACTGACTGACATTTGTTTTGTTATTGGATTCCTAGACGTCTTTAAAAATGGTGGCGAGAAAAAAAAAAAAACAAAAAAAAAGAAATAACTGCAGTGAGGCTTTTGAAAATGAAATATGATGGCAAATAAATGTAAAAAATGCACAGTAACAATAAGAATGCAAAAAGTCATTGCATGGCAACAAATATTATTGCATTTCTGGATGTTAAAAAAATGGGGAGTACCATTTATAAGGTATAAAGTTAATTTTATAGATTGAAGTTCATCTATTTTTATATACTTTTATATACTTTCCCAAAATTCTTCTATGAGAATTACTAAAGGGCA